TATACCTTCTATACATAGTCTTCTAGGGTATCTCTTAAATAGATAAGGATGTTATTTAAGTATACTAGAGTAAAGACATCTAAATAAAAGTTAAGAGCTGTATTAATAATTTGCTAGAACATTACTAGGGCGTTTGTTAAGCTAAATAGCATTACTAATAATTTATAGAGCCTTTATAAAGTTCTAAATACTATAAGCTACTTATTTTTTTTTTATCCTTATTTTATTAAATCTGTCTTGTACATTAAACTTTATAAAGTACTAGGTTCCTTTTAGTTAGTTTATAATATCTTATATAATTAGTAAAGGAAACTAATCTTAGATTATGTTGTTATTTAGAGTTTTATAGTCTTAATAGACTTATATTTTCCCTCCTTTCTTTTTTGCAAAGACTACTACTAAGGCTATAGGACTGTAACTTTCTTAGATATAGCCTTATACTAACATTCTATTAACATACTCCTGTAAAGCCTTCTTCTGTGCCCTAGTTAGAGGGCAGAGCCTATGCGTTTTTAGGTTGTAATCTTTTATTAGGTTAATAGTGTAGTCCTAAGGCTAGTGCAGTAGTAGTTCTTTAGGGTCTTCTAGTGTTTTAAACATGTCCTTATAGTCTTTATATTTAGGCAGAATTTAACCTTTTTTTTAGACTTATATAACACTAATCTATTTTACATCTTTATCTGCTTTAATTTTTTTATAAGAGACTTTTTTAAGTTTTTTTTTTATTATTTTTATTACTTAAGCTTTTAGCTTTTAGTAAAGGAATTTTTAAAGCTTCCTTTTCTTAGAGTAGTAACTACTACCCTGCTTAGCTTATTTGTAGACTAGGCATCTGTTGTTGTAGCATGCTAACTAGGTTATGTGTGCATAGTTGTTAGAGGTTTCTATAGTTATAGTTTTTTAATTAATTACAAAATTATAAGTTCTAAGCTAGTTATAGCCTAAGATTACATTATATTTACTTTTTAGTTTAAGTATGTTTATAGATCTCTAATTTTTTATGTTAAAAGTTTTAAAGTTTTTCTTATAAGTTTTTAGGTTAATCTATCCTCTACTATACTTAATTAATAATGCATTAGTAAGGGTTACCTTAAACAGGTTTTTTTTTATGTAAAATAGTATGCTTTACTTATCTACCTAATTCTTGTCTATAGCAGTAAAGGTGCATCTGCTATCTATAAGGGCTAGTCTAGGCTATCTTTTATACGTAAAGGTAGTTGTTAGGCTGTGTCCTGCCCCTTATCCTACTGCAATTACTATAGATATGTTATATTTAACTTCTTTATTAAGAAAGGGATAGAGATTAATGTTTTATAAATTATTATTAAATTTATTTTTTTTTTTTTTATAGATTTAATGTTCTTAATTATAGCAGTTAGCTACTTTACATTTATAATCTTTAACTAAATAATGTAACATTAGGTAGTCTTCTTTTTTTACTGCCTTTTACTAGAAGTAGTAGAACTTATAGTTTTTTTATTTATTACACTTTATCTATAGTTTTTGCTTATAAGGGGGAGCTGTCTAATAAGTGTAATAATTTATAGTTTTACAGGCTAAAGCTGTTCCTTGCTATAGGCAACTGTTGTAGTTCTTTTTCTATGTAGGCTACTATTCTGCTTAATGTTTGTTGTCTTAGTGTTTAACGCAGTATTATTGTGTACACTAGTACTAGGGGTATAGACAATTATTAGGTTTATGTAATGTGTTAAGGGGACTTTTTTAAGTCTACTAAAGATATTTTTTTGTTTGTACTAGCTGTATAGGGTGCTCTTTCTATTAGCACTTGCTTGTGCTATAGGTGCTGCTTTTGCAGAGGACACATTATCTATAATTTTGTTATACTGCAAGAGCTTTTTTAGAGATTGCTAGGCTTAGAAGTAGTGTCTTAGGTTTCTTAGGCGCTAGTTATAGTACTTTAAACCTAGTAGGTTTACCTAACTATTCTAGCTTTTAATCTCTAATCTTAGTAAAAAATTACTATTACTTTTTTTTATTTATAATATTATATTTAACTTTAGCTATCCTTTATATAATGTTAAATATTAAGTAGTTGTTGCTAATGTTTATTTAGTAAAGCAAGACTATGCAGTTACTTAGGTAGTTATGTAGTAACTTACACTTCTAGCACCTGCATTCTTAAAACTGTTAGGAAAGCTCTCTTGCTAAAGTACTAAGGGTCTAGTTTTAAAGAGGGAACTATTTTTCTTTTTTTTAAATATTTATAATATATCTCTAGATCTAAGTCTTTTCTTTATATTTTTTAAGAATTATAAGGTCCTACAACACTATATTAAAGCTATTAAAATTTTAAATAACTACCTTCTAATACACTTTAGGGCAGTTGTTTAAAGAGTAGTTTTCTTTACATTACTAGTAAAGTTTATTATTTAGTTTTTCTTATATTTTCTTATCTATAAGGCTATATTTAGCAGTAATAGCTTTTATTATTATAGTAGTATTTTTATTCTTCTCTTTCTAGAAGTTTAGGTAATTTTAGTAGAAATGTCTTACTTTTTTATAGTTTAGGCAGGCCTTGTTCTCTAGCTACTTTTATTATTTTTTTATTAAAGGCGGCCTATTACGTCCTAGAACTTAGCTCTTTTTAGAGAGGGGGCTTTATATATGCTTTGCATAACTAAGGTCTATTAGTTTTTTATTATATTATAAAAGCTTTTTTTTCCTAAAAACAAATTCTAGTTTTTAAAAAGTTCTCTTTAATTTCTTTTCTTTTTTATGTTTTTTATAATAATTATTATAAGTTATAGCTTTCTTAATATAGTCTTTAAAAGTAGTTAGTTAGTTTATGTATATAAACTTATTTTTTACTTTTTTATTTAGTCTATTATAAAACATGCAGTATAGGGCTTTCTAGTTATTCTATCTGCAGATAGCTATTTGCTCCCTAAAACACGCTACGTAGTTCTAGACTAGTCTGCTGCCTTGTCTTATATTGTCTAGTTAGTTAGCTATAATTTTTTTTTTGTCTAGAGTCCTATAGATAGCTAATAAAGCTGCCTTAAAATTTTTAACACTACTAAATACTTTTTTTATTTTAAGATTAAGTAGGGCGCTGTTAGCTCTAAAGTCTATTTAGTTGTTAGCATAGAGTTAGAACTAGATTATAGGGGGGCCTTTTAAGTGTAGTTCTATTTAAAAGATTATTTTTGTGTTAGTCTAAAATGCTCTCTTATTATACTACATATAAAAGTAGCATTAAGTAAAGAATAGTTAAAGGTCTTTTAATAATTCTTTAAAAAGCTTTAAAAGGGCTAGTTTTAAGGCCTTTTTAGCTATAACACTTACTTTATTTATTAAAATGTTTTAAACTTTTACTAGTTCTACTTATAATTTATATATCTAGTAGGCTTAGGTAGTAGCTTTATAGAGGTTAATAAAAAGTAAAGAGTTCTATAAATTTATAGTTTTTTCTTTATAAAAGTTAGCTATTTTTTACTTAAGTTTTAATAATTTACTAACTTTATTACTAATCTGCTAGAGTTTCTTAATATTATCCTAGATAGAGTTAATCTGTTCTGCTAGAACAGCTTTACTTTAGGTAGGAACTTCTGTGGATCTAGATAGCGCAGCGTGGGCTATATTAGAATCTAAATTATGTTAAGAGGTTGCTATACTTTTTAAAGGGGTAGTATTTAATATTATAATTTTTACTTTAGAAAGCACTTAGGTCTTATAATGTTCCTAGGGGGGAAGTAGGACAGGTAGTAGGGGCTAATCTAGTAGGGTGTACAGTCCTACGTACAGGCTATTAGGCTAATAGAGGGAAGAAGAGTGACTAAATTATAGTTTGCCCTATATGCAGTAGTAGAGAGGCTAGAGTTAAACAGTCCTGTTAGATAAAGTTAGAGGTATATATAGTGTAAGATATATAAATAGTATTATAGCTTTTTAAAAAGCTAAATGCTACTTAGTCTATGTAGAGAATAAACTAAACATTAAACACACCTTCTAAAAGTTGTTTAATGTAGGAACTATATACATATGTAGGGGACGCTAAGGCGAGCTAGATAAGCCTACATAAGTCTGCTAAGCAGGGCTTGCTAAGCTCTCCTAAACTTGTGGGATTCGCGTCCTATCCTCCTATTGGACAACGCATTCTTCCATGATCTTGGGTAGCCGTGCTACCTCCGCGTCCTCCGCTCGGTCTGTAAGCGAGTCCCGCTCCAACCGTACCATATTGTGGAGCATCCTGGGTGGAGTTACGCTGGTCCAACCGTAGACCGTAACAACTATTTACTTAAATAGACTACTTGTAAAATGTTTTATAGATTTTTATCTAATGAATCTACAGAGAATACTTTTCTAAGTATATGTAAACTAGCTAAAATTAATAAAATAGATGATTAATTTATTATAGAATAAGCTTTATAACTACAATTGCTAGCAAAGTGTTGTTAATAGATAGTAAAGTTGGCTAGGTAAGAAATCAAGCGAACTTTTAGTGTAGTTAGTTAACTAGTATTCTTAAAGCAAGGTATTAGTAGTAGGACTAAGTTGTTGCATCCTCTTCGTTAGGCTCTATCATCAACACAACAAAACAATACAACAGCATACTTCCGCTGTGTGACGGCGTGTACCGCCTCACATGCTCTGCGGCATCAGCTCCCTCGCTTGCGCAACGAGTAGCACGCTAGTGCTGCGAGTAGCGCCTTGGCAGGGGGCACACATGTATATTTAAACTCGCAGAGCAGCTCCTCTGCTCCTTAGTTTAATCTAGTTGAGTTACACCACCTCTTGCTTGTAGCTTGAGCATGCCGACCGTGACACGCTGCACCAACTAAGCTTTAAAAAAGATTCTACCTAAACGTTACAAAACTATATAGCTACTAACTAAGAAAAGTTTACCTATATGCAATATTAGATAATTGTATCAAAAGCTTACGCGGTAACATCTCGATATTATGTGGTTTACAGTGTTTATCAAGTTCTACCCAGAAATTTCTAAAAAGCTTTAAGAAGTTAGCGAATAATTTGCTCTTCTACCCTAAATAACTTACCTCGAAAATGCACTTGGTAAGCTCCATTGTCGCAATGTTCATGCCCAAGCATTTTGTGCTTCCATGATTCCATACGAGTTCCAAGTTCCGTTTCATGGACGTAGTTCGCTCTGAATCGCTTGCCAGCCACCTTTCTGGACGAAAGACCTCGACGTCTTTACCAAAGACATCGTTAAGCTGAGCAGCTTTGGAGTTGATGCCAATGAAGGTACCTCCAGGAATGAAGTAACCGCCCAGTGTGTCGCCCGAAGGTGGTGCCATTCTTTCCCGGAGCTGGAACGAGGGTGGGTACAAGCGCAAACCCTCAGATACGCAAGCCCGGAAGTAGGGTGCCCGTTTAATAGTCGATTCCCTAGCGGGGAAAGCGTCATCCGAAAGGGCGAGGCTCTTGATCTCTTTTTGGAGTTTCAATTGGACCCCTGGAGTCGAGACTATGAGATAAATGATTGCTCCAAGGGCGTTGGTGGTAGTCTCCACACCTGCACTCCTGCTGGATGTTAGAGTAGGCCGCAGTCAAGGAAGTTATACAAACAAAATAAGCAGTAAATCTCCAATCGCCTCCTGCTCCACTAACCCACGCTCTATAAATGAGTCAAGCATTTCGACCCTCGGTCCACGTTTGGCGAATCGCTCTTTGACAGGATCCTGAATGGCCTTGAAATACATCAGCATGGGCTTACTAGTATACGATTTCCGGTGCTAACAGCAAGTACCGTGCCAATTGGTGTTCCATCACCAGGTACCGGAGCAAGAAACCCGCCTAGTACCGGGATATGGGAGAGCATGACTAATAGACTCTTCAACTCCGGTATCACAGAAAGACAAGTCTGCACCCTAGTCCCGGCGTTGAAAACTTCAATGAATTTATGCACGTCTGTCTTGGCCTTGAGGCTCCCGAAAGGGGTTCCAAGAATAAGATGAGAGACCGCATCGACAGCTAGATACCTGAAGCTTGTTATAATGTCGCACGCAACTTTGCTGTTAGGTATGTGTTGTTCATGGATTTGCTCCATCCAAGTCCGGACATGCTCATCGATGGTGGACTCAAATTTTTGCATGCCCTTTCCCAACAGCTAAGGCAATTGTTAGCTGGGAACATAGACGTCCTGTCAAGTCAAGGTGGTGAAACCATACCGCGGCGCTGTAGATATTCCGCTTCCGTTGATGTCTTTCAGGGTCCCTCTCGCAGACTATGTTCGTCTCATCATGATGCAATCGAAGTGCATCGAACCAAGGCCCCCGTGTGTAGCTTGAACCTACAGCTAGAACTTTTCGGATGTCCGCAGGATCACTAATAAGGACGTGATTGGGCCCTATTCGGACAACGCTCCCTGTCGGTAAGTGGTAAGCACAATAATCATTTAGCGTTAAAGTAGTCTGGATTCTACCATAAGTCCTCGCGGTTTCTGCGCATTTTTCTGCTAGACTGTAGCTGTAGACGTTCTTCAGGATCCACACCCGAGTGAATGATGCCATTTTGGGACCGGGTATCTTTGACAGGACATGGTTTCTCTTATGCCGGTCGAATGTTGACCATGGTTTCTGCACAAATGACACAAAGAATAAGAGAAGCAAAAGATAGACTACAAAGAAAGATTGAGGGGTGGTCAAGGGACAAAATTGGGCGATGGGGAACATGTCGAAACCGATGAACTACGGAGATGTGGGATCCCATTAATAGAAGAAAATGACAGGAGCCTTCGGCCTTCGCTCGAAGTTGCTAGATGCTACGGTGCCAATTTAGCCCCCAAATCATAAATACCAAGTCCCTGGCAGCAACGCCTCACTGCAATAGGCTTTAGCCGCCATGCAGTCAGGCGCTACTGAAACCCGAACCTGGAAATATATATGTAGCGTAGCTGCCAGGATCATAGCATAGCTGCCAGGATCATTATTTGTCTTGGGCTCCGTTGTAAAACAAGGCCCGTGCCGTGATTCGCCTCGTGGGATGGTTGCAGGTCCCAAGAAGTCGTTTGGAGGGTCAGAAATAAGGGCAGACATGGTCATACAGCTCATAGATGCGGTCTGAATTGCACTTCTAGACCACCGTTTACCGAAACCATGTGACACTCCTGCGAATACCTTCGTCGGTATCACGGATTGGCTTATACCCTAGCCGAACCCTCGCCTTGTCAATAGAAAACCAATAGCCTTTTCTCGTAAAGTCGAGATGATGAGGACTCATTTTCAGCGTCTTTCTCCTAAAGGTAAAGATATTATATGTCCGTTCTCCCACTGCAGCAAAGAACAGGACAACCCCAAAAGGAACCTTGATAATTCTTGTGGATGGCTGATCTTTCAACACTTAGTCTCCGGGTTCGATCAGAATCTTTCGAACAAAATCCCAGAATAGCATTGGTCCTCCATCGGTGATGTAGAACGCTTCGCCATTGATTCCAAGATCGATAGCTTGGCTGGTCTCTCTAAGGAGGGCTTTTGCTGCTAGAACATTGGCCAATGCAGCGTTCTGTGTATATACCCAATCGTGTACAGCGTTGTTTGGGCCAATCTGGACGCGGGCCCCAAATGTATTGACGAGCTTCAATATCTCGGCAGTGGTCTTCTCGTCTCGTTCGCCATACAGAACCCCGATTCGGAGACATGTAGTAAGCAGCATACCCTGGTAGTTGCCATCGCAGTTCTCAAAATGCGTCTGGGATAGGCCGGTGTTGAATTATAGAACGAGTGCGTCCGCTGTACCTATGGTCCTTGCGTAAGCGCTTGTTCCGGATTTGAGGCCATTCAATGTTGCTTCTTCTTCCGTCTGAGGTTGTCTGTTGAACCCAGGTCCAAGCACAACTGCCTCGACGGAGCTTTTATAGACTACAGCGCGTATGGAATGATGCTGTCGAGCGGCTTCTAGAATCTGCTTTGTCGCCAAATAGTTCGCGTGGTGCTGTATCTTGGAGGGAGCGACTGGCCCTGGAGATACCGTGTGAATGATTGCCGCCGGTTATGTCTCGTCCAGCAGCGTCTTGAATTGGCTGCTGTCCGTGATATCGCAAATGCGATATGTCGCGTCGGGGCGCTGCTATTGCTGGTTTCGACGGCAGTCGGCCGGAACGGCATCAACCACACGCGAGCCAACGACGCCGTTACCTCCTGTGACGAGGATGGTACCCAAGGTATTTTGCTGGCAAATCGCCTCCATTACCTCGTACTTTGGGGTAAATGCAGAATATGGGTTCTTGCGCACCAGCTCTGTCCAGTTTTATCACATAGTACTAGTTATTAAGAAACCTGTCTAGCGGTTCAACCGACCCTTGCCCTAGTCGACCCCCTCTCATTCGACTGTGGGACAAGACTCCTGGATGCCACAAATACTATTGCCCTCGTCGAATGTAGATGTGCCATTGGCCCACCTGCAGTTCCAAACTTGAGAATCTTATCGTCGACTATGTTCAAGATCAAGACCCTAACTAATATAATAACCTAGTTTACAAGCGTGTGGCCTAAATGAGCGAGTGGCCCATCTCACTAACTTTTCGCGACGCGTTATTATGCCTTGGAAAAAACTAGTTACAGTTTAAATATCGCCTAGAGGCTCAGCGGAACGCTTAGCACACTTACACTACAATTTTTACACAATTAAATGCATTAACTTTATTTTTTACTTACTTATATAAATATAGTTTGCTAGATAGATTACTAGAATAACGTATTTCACAAGCAAGAAGTCTACACAAGTAAAAAGTGTACTCTAATTAAATTCTAGTACTTAAATTACATTTTACTTCATAACACCTATATTAATTAGTTAAATAATAAAAAAATTAAATTTCTAATATTCACTTTATAAATTATATAAGTTTTAACTTAGTAACTTTATTAGTAGTAGTAGCTAGAGTGCTAGTAACTTAATAGTATAGAAACTTATTTAATGCTATTTTAGCTCTTTTTTTACTATCTTATTATTTAATAGCTAACTTAAATCTACTTTATTTATAACTATATAAGTTGTTAATACTTTATAGTATAACATAGCTTTATTAACCTTTGATAGTATTATAACTTACTTTAATTAAACTAGTACTAAATATATTATTATGTTAACACTTGTAATAAGCTAGTTAGAAGCTTTATTAATAACGCTAAGTAAGCTATTTAATAACTTAGTAAGTCTTAATAAAGCTATTCTAACAGCCTTTCTCTATAATAGTATATAGTATTCTAGGCTACTATAGTCTATTTTAGTTTAAAAAAGGTATTAGTATCTGTAAGAACAGAGCTCTGTACCACTGCGCCAATACAACTAAAAAGGTGCGAATAATCAACTAACGTTAATTATTGCGTACAGAATAGTATATATACCCGTCGCACGTAAGCACCATCTCGGCCTTACACGTAAGCGCCATCCTAGCCTTACAGTATCTATAATTACATATTAATCTTTCTAATTACACTTTTTAAGTTAAATACAACTAATTCTATACTTTAAAAGCTTACTTAGATATTTCTTAGCATAACAGTAGTGTATATGCTATGTAATAGGTGTAAGGACGAAGCTCTATACAACTGCGCTAATACAACTAAAAGGTGCGAATAATCAACCAACAGTTAATCTGCATACAGAATAGTATATATACCTGTCGCACGTAAGCGCCATCTTAGCCTTACATTATTCCCCTTCTTAGCAGACGCATGTCCCAGGCGTCACATAGCCTACCCGCAGCTTAGAGGCGCCATGTACACGACTTAGTTACTGGCTAGAGGCCAACCACTTGCAGCCTAGGGCGCAGGATAGGCAACTACACTTAGTAGCCTACGCTAGCTAAGCTATATACACTAGATATTTTAGCAGCAACAACATAGCGCTAGAGGAGACTGCTTTATGTTTTAGTTTAAAAACTAGCTAAGCTAACTAAGGTAGATTAAACACTAACTATACCCCGCTGTTAGTTAATTATTAAGTAAGGACAGAGCTCTGTACCGCTGCGCTAATACAAGTAACAGATGCGAATAATTAACCAACAGTTAATCGACGTACAGAATAGTATATATACCTATTGTACGTAAGCGCTATCTTAGCCTTACAGTAAGCTAGTAAAAACTTAACTTTAGTTATATAGTTAATAAATATATAAATTAACTTTGTTACCTAATAACGTACTTTACAGGCGAGTTGCTTACACACCTAAGTTGCTTACTTTTGCTAAGACCCTACTAAACTACTCTTCCTACACTAATGCATTCCTAACAACACTACTTAGATGCGCTAAAAGAATGTTAGATACAGCTTACACTCTAAGCTTTTAAATAAAACATAAAACTTTTAAAGAAATATGCTTGTCAGATATGCGCACCTACTGTCAAGACAGGAGAAACGCTGGGCGAAAGCTGCTACATAGTACAAGCAATAAGCTCGAACAGTATGTTGCTGCAAATTGCAGCATGTTGCAAGCTGGTCGCGCATAGAGCTAGTGCGCGAGGGACTCGGACCGGAAAAACAAAGCCGAGCAACACGAGCAGAGCAGACAAAAAAAAAAAAATCAATTAATTAATACAATCAATCATCATCCCATACATCATATCCAAACCCATCATTCATCTTAGGAAGCCTAGAAACAGTGCTTCAATTTGACAATGCTACAGCTATATATAAAGTCTTTTAAAAGACAATAAATAACTATAGCACTAGACAACCTTTATAAGCTAATTTTACAGCTAACTTATAAAGGCTAGGTAATAAGAAGGAGCAAGTAATTGTTAAGACTATACTTAAGCTATATGCGCAAGGATTTTCCCTTTAGATAGCATTTGTAGCTAATATAGCTAATTCTTTACGCGCTAAGCATAATCTAGGCTATATTAGCATAAACTAGCCTAGTGTCAGATATGCGCACCTACTGTTAAGACAGGAGGAACGTTTGACGAAAGCTGCTACATAGTACGAGCAATAAGCTCGAACAGTATGTTGCTGCATTTTGCAGCATGTTGCAAGCTGGTCGCGCATAGGGCTAGTGCGCGAGGGACTCGGATCGGAAAAACAAAAGCCGAGCAACACGAGTAGAGCAGAAAAAGGATCGATAAATCAATAGAATCAATCAATCATCCCATACATAACATCCAAACCCATCATTCATCTCAGGAAGCCTAGAAACAGTGCGTTAATCTAACACCTAGTATGTTTGTAAAGTGTTATTTAAAGCTTAAAGTAAAGTTTTAAGCGCAAGTATAGTTAATAGATATTTAGCCTATAATAAAGCCTATTTTGCTAAAGTTGTATGTGTTATTATTCTAGATGCTATACTTAGCTTTAATATTCTCTATAAGGCTAAACCTGCTCTAAATTACTCTAGGACCTTTACAGAGAGCTCTTTTATAGTTATACTACGCTTAAATATTACTTTAAGGTCTAGATTGTAACGATTCTACGAATCGTTCCATCTCGGGTCGCTCGGATCCTATCCGAAGGGTCCCTGTATCGGCCCCGACCATGACTCGACCCAGTCCCCCGCAGTTACCCCTATTCCCTCATGTATTTAGTCGCACCTCGCCCCCGTAGCTAACTCGGTAGTTTTCTGATATCCTACGTACAAGGCCTATAGGTGTCATTGGTATTCCCAGGTCTCTGAGTCCCCACGCACTCCCATATGCCTCTGAGTGGATTCATACCGCATTCGGACCCATTGTCTTGCCTGCGCCGTTACATAGATAACACTTCTTAAACATACTAGGCTAGTTTATGCTAACATAGCCTAGATTATGCTTAGCGCGTAAAGAATTAGCTATATTAGCTATAAATGCTATCAAAGAGGAAAATCCTTCCGCATATAGCTTAAGTATAGTCTTAATAATCACCTGCTTCTTCTTATTGCCTAGCCTTTATAAGTTAGCTGTAGAATTAGCTTGTAAAGGTTATCTAGCGCTACAGTTATTTATTGTCTTTTAAGAGACTCTGTACATAGCTGTAGTATGTTTCTTTAAGAGTTTTATGTTTTATTTAAAAGCTTAGAGCACAAGCTATATCTAACCTTCTTTTAGCGCGTCTAAGTAGTGTTGTTAGGAATGCATTAGTGTAAAAAGAGTAGTTTAGTAGAGTCTTAGTAAAAGTAAGCAACTTAGGTGTGTAAGCAACTCGCCCGTGAAGTACGTTAACTATATACACTCTTTAATAGTAGAAAACAGGCTACAATAATTAGTTAAAGTAAAGAAAATAGATGTAAAAGTATATAAAGTATAATAGGCTTTTTTTAGTATAAAAGTTAAGAAATTATACTAGATTATAACTCTTACAGCTATTAAACATTAGAGGATACTATACACTAGGTATACACTAATTTAATTTATTATTTACCTGTTTTTACTTACTAGCATAACCTAGTTGTATAGTAAATATAAGAATAGAGATCTACACTACTCTACTATTACAACTAAAAATATGCGAATAATCAACTAACAGTTGATTTGCGTGTAGAATAGTATATATATCTATTATACATAAGAACTATCTTAATCTTATAGTAAAAACTAGTTATACTAGAAATAATAATAATACTATCTTTTAAAAATACCTAAATGTTAAATAGCGTAACTTAACATATTAACATATTAAATAACTAAAGCCTATTTATAATTATCTAGTTAGATTAATTTTAAACTATTATACTTGTTAAATACTATAATAACTTTATAAGTAAGTGTAACGCCTATCTTAAACTTTCTATTATTAAAGTTATCAATTTAATTCCTAGTAATAGTGTTATATATAAGTGTAAACTACTTTTATATAGTTGGAAAGTTCTTACATTAATCTCTTTTATAGTTTTTCTTCTAATAAATATTTTAAGCATTAAAGTATATTTAATAAAGTTAATAGTTAGGTGTAGAGGATAAAATAGCCTAGCAGTAGCTGTTTAGAGGATCGGATGAAGTGACTCTGCTATCTAAGAGAGTTGAAGGCTCTCCTTATATACACCGAGCTTCGGAACATACTATCTCCAGATCCAGAGCCGCGCCCCAGGCTCCGAGCCCTAGCTAAGGCTCTTAGCATACGCGACATTAGATTTATACTAATATAGCTAAGACTATAATAGCTATATAATTTATTAACTATAGCTTTTACAACCTAACGTAAAAAAATTTATTTATTAATTTATATTAAGTATATACTTTATAATATCTAATTTTTTTTTAAATTAATTAATTTTT